TGGATGCCTTTATTTCTTTTTCTAGCCTAATTGCTCTGTTGCCAGCAGTTTTTGAAGAAATTAATTTTGATGGTGTACTTGAGTTAATGTTTTGTTTATCAATTTATCTAGAAATCTTAAAGTTGTTATCAAAGCCCCTTCCTGGTGATATGTCCTTGATTTGGCATCTGACTCCTGTCAGTGTCCCTTGCTGCTGATCTCTTAGTGGCTGAATATTTTTTCTGTCTCAGCTACAGAAGGGCATCCATTCTAGACAAAGGGTAGACTTGACGTTACTTTTCCAATCAGTACCAGTTGACGTCATGTTGATTCTGACTCATGGCAACCCGATGTGTGTCAGAGTAGAACTGTGCTCTATAGGGTTTTCAGTGTCTGAGTTTTTGGAAGTAGATCGCCAGCACTTTCTTTCAAGGCACCTCTGAGTGGCTTCAAACTTCCAACCTTTCGGTTAGCAGCCGATCACATTAACCAGCCACGTTTGCACCAGCCAGGGACTCCCAATCAGTGCTATTCCTATTTCTCTTAGCGCGTTAGCAGCTGAGTTGGAGGAGCATGATCCTTCCTGGGATTTTATAAAATCACTTCCCAGTAAGGAAGCATTTCCTTGTTACTTGAGCAGAGAGATGAAGCAGCTTGCCTGCCTTCTCTCTTCCCACTCTCCTTAGGTCAGAGCTAGTTATCACACACAGGGTCGTGTGACTCCTGAGCTCTGGTTGGCCATCTTCTTCCACAGTATCTGGTGAGAGGGAGAGATGCTTTCCTGAAAACTGCTGCAATTAGCAATCCTATATCCAATACGGAACCCTGGTGGCATGGAGTTTAAAGTGCTAGGCTGCTAACCGAAGGTCAGCAGTTTGAACCACTAGACAATCTGTGGGAGAAAGATGTGGCAGTCTGCTTCCGTAAAGCGTACAGCCTTGGAAACACTATAGGTTGCTATGAGTCAGAATCAACTTGACAGCCATGGGTTTGGTTTTGGGTTTTGGTATATCCTATATAGAGAAGGTGTTGAACTATATATACCCTTTGCTGTCAGATCAATTCCGACTCATAGTGACCGTATAGGACAGAGTAGAACTGTCCCATAGGGTTGCCTGGGCTGTAATCTTTATGGAAGCAGGCTGCCACATCTTTCCTCTGCAGAGCAGCTGGTGGGTTTGAACTGCTGACCTTTTGGTTAGCATCCGAACACTTAACCACTGAGCCACCAGGGTTCCTTTTAGAACTATATTGAACTGTATTTAGAAACCTTGAATCTCACTTCCTCTCAGGCTAAATATGACTGTTTCTTTAGGGCAGGCATCTGACTGAAGGGCATTGGCTTGTCTGGGGCATGTACAAGTGAGTGCGAGTGCCCATCTGTTGGGTGGCTCTTATCTCCTTGCAGGCACTTCATGTCTGAGAAGAAAAAATGAATCATTTCTGGTGTAGGCTTGAACTTACTTTTTTTTTCTTCCCAAAACCTTAGATTTCTGCCAGCCTCAACTTCAGATTGGTTGTGCAAATCAAATAGGTGGTGGACAGGTCCATAATGGTTTCTATTTGTATGCCTACCCTGAAATCACAAAAGAAATGGTTTATGAATAATATCTAAAGAATAGATCTTCCTGTTCTTTCTCCTGTCTTAATTAAAATAGTCATTTGTTTCATATAAAGTTACTGATAATTCTGGGGTTCCTGCCACTTTTGATGTGTCCTTTACTTAGGTTGAATACTAATATTTACCTGTCCCCCAGTCTTCTTTTCTGCAGAAGGGAATAAAAATGTTTGTGTTGTCGTCATCAGATTTCTAATGGATAATTTTGTTGAGCATTTAAACATGTGCCAGGGTCCGGGTTAAGCACTTTGCATACATTGTCTGATTTATACTCTTAGATGAAGACTCTAAGGTTGAGAGATTATAGTAACTTGACCAAGATCACCAAGATCTAATAAGTGACAAAGCTGAAATTTATCTGGGTTGTAGAGATGTTGTGAGGAATAGTGACAGAGTTCCTCTGTTTAGCATTCTGAACTTTGCAGAAAATCAAGGTACTCATGAAATGTTTGCATGTAATTGGCCTCGCTTAGCTTAGATTAAACCATTAGAACAAACCAAGCAACCTTGAAAATACAATCATATTGCTAACAATTATTCGTTGGAGGAAAGAAATGCAATTCTAGGACCTTTTTTTTCTGTGTGTGTGTGTGTGCACTATAGTTAATAAAGACTCAGCTACATTCTAAGTCACTTGAAAGGGATTTGTTAAATATCAGTGTGTGACCTTCTTGAACAAGAAACTAATGTTATGGGAAAAAAAAAAATACAGAAATTTTGAATCCCATTCGACAGTGATTCTTGTCCCTCATTGTGGAACAGAATCACCTGGGGAATGCTTAAATATACTGAGTCCCAGGCCCCATTGTTGATCCGTGTTGAAAGGATCTTTGGAGGTGGGGACTTGGCGTTGGACATTTCTTTTTCTTAAGGGTTCTTAAGGGGTGCAACTCCATGTGCAACCAGCATTGAGGACCACTGTGCTAAGAGATTGCTTCTGCTCTTTATATTCCTTTGTGTTGTCTTCCTTTATATGCTTCTCTGACATCCATATTTTTCACCCTAGAGATAATTGATCTATTTTATTTCCCTTCTTCTAGATTAAAGATTTCTTGAGCTACATCCGTCCTATGAACGCATATGCAAATGTCATTCCAGTAGGCACAACTATGGATAAAGTTACAGAAATGTGAGTAGTTACTGCCTGTGGAACTTTGTCTTCCTTTTATGGCTCTTGGCTAGGAATCAAAGGATCATTCTGCCTGAATGTTTACAAATCTAGAACCTGTTCCTGTTTTGATATTTTTGAACTTACATTTATTTCTGTTTTTGCCTTTCAGTGCTTCATTTAGTTCACAGTGTAGCAGAATGTACAGGTAGTATTGTCATTTTGTCCTGAGTTGAATCCTAGCTCCACCATTTACTGACAGTGTTGGGCAGATCACGTCTCTGAGCTAGTAATTTTTAATTGGCAAAATAGGAATATTCATACCTACTTGTTGGGTTTTTCAGAGATTTGTAGATAATATATGGAGAGCACCTAGCACAATGCCTAGTAGGTGATTAGTTAAAGGTATCTATTGAATGAATAAATGAACTCAAAGGAGAGGTGAAATAGCAATCATAGGTCCCTTTTGCTACTATCATTTTTCACCTCTTCTTTGAATTTCATTTATCCATTCATTAAATATTTCTTTAGCACCAACTATAATGTTAGGCACTGTGCATGAAATCCTAGTTGACTAAGATATGCTCTCTGTCCTTAACAGAACTCAGAGTCTCGTAGGGAGGGTGGATGTACACTGCAGCATACTGTATGCAAGCTGCTATGGGTGCATGTTGGAAGGGAGTGGCCAGTTAGGCCTGGTAGTCAGGGAATCTGTCTCAGAGACTGTGATGAGGACATATAGCACTAGGGTTTCAAATGATTATGGAAGATGCAGCTTAGGAGCTCTGGAGAGAGGTGTGCGTTGGAGACACAGATTGAGGAGTTGGCAGTACAGGTGACAACTGAAACCATGAGGGTAGAGGTATAATAGGTATAATCACTAAGGAGAGCATGAGAGTGAAGAGAGCAGGGTCCAGAACTCTGGGCAGCACATTTAAGGCAGGAGCAAGGAAAGGGGAGCTGGGATAAGAGACAGAGTGGTCCAAACAGTAGAACCAGGCGAGGATAGTAGTGTGGCGGAAGCAAAACCCATTGCTGTTGAGTTGATTCTGACACATAGTGACCCTATACGACAGAGTAGAACTGCCCCATAGCGTTTCCAAGGATGTAATCTTTACAGAAGCAGACTGCCACATCTTTCTCCCGTGGAGCAGCTGGTGCGTTTGAACTACTGACCTTTCAGTTAGCAGCCGAACGCTTTAACCACTGTATCACCAGGGCTCCCATGGTGGAAGCAAAGGAAAGGGAAGATAGTGATCATTGGTGTCAAATTCTTGAGAAGCCAAATAATATAGGGATTATAAAGTGTCCCCAACTTAGTAATTAGATCATTTGTGTGCTCTTAGTGAGGACAATTTCAGTGTACATGTGAGTCAACAGCCAGTTTCGCTGTCTGAGGAACGAGTAGAAAGTGAGGAAACGGAGGATACTGAAAGTAGTATATTCTTTCAAAAGGAAAAGTTACAGACCAGATAGTCACTGGAGGGAACAGAGTTTAGAGGTGTGATTGTAAAATAGCTGAGGTTAAAATGTGTGTTATGGAACTAAACTTGAATGTACATTGAATATGTATTCAAGTTTAGGTGCTTGTTAAAATGCAAATTCCCCCATCTTTCATTTTTATCAGGCAATTCTGTTGTAGGTCTGTGGGGGAGGAGTGGAGAGGTTGAACTGATTGAAGAGAAAAGTGGTCAGAGCAGGTTCTGGAGGAGGGCAAAAGGGATGGATCCAGAGAACACACACAAGGATGTAAAGTGGGTGTGACAATAAATAAGTTCCAGCATGGGACCTTGATGGCTTTCTTCAAGTGGGTATGTTATATATAACCTTAAAGGCTTCTGAGGAGAGTCCCTTGGTGGTGCAAATTGTTAAGTGCTCGACTACTAACCAAAAGGTTGGCGGTTCAAACCCACCCAGAGGCCCCTCGGAAGAAAGGCCTGGCAGTCTGCTTCTGAAAGGTCAGAGCTTTGAAAACCCTATGGAGCAGTTCTACTCTGCACACATGATTTGCCATGAGTTGGAATCTACTCAACAGCAACTGATTGGTTATTTTGGTATTTAAAGGCTTCTAGAAATGGTACAAGGAAACAGTTGGCAGTGAGGCCCTTGAAAAGGGGTAGGACATGCTCAAGTCTTGTTTCTGTGCCCTTTTATATATTATCTCCAGTGTGTCTTAGCTTTCAGCCTGTGGGCCTCTAGAAAGAGATCAAATTTGTGAGGTTCTTACCAGATAAAGTAAACCCCATTAAATGGGGAAGGGGAAGCAGCTAGCTTACGCTGTGCTCCCTGAAATCCAGAAGATGTCAATTAAGAGTCTTTTAGAATAGGGACCTGATTTTCTCCATTACAAGAGCAAAGATCCAAGTTTTGCTGGAGTCTGCTGAAGATGTTCACCAGGCTGTATTTAAGTGCTTATATTTACCACTTCATTATATTGAAGCAATTTTTAATTTTTAAACATTGCTTTTCAGTTCTTAAAAGTAATTGTGTGATTTCCCCTGTGGTCAAGTCTTTGTTATGTTCATAAATAATATTTGTCTTCCAGCAGCTTTCCAAAAAGGAAAAACAAGATATTCTGATTTATTTCAGCTTAAAGCCTTTATGCCGATCTTCCCAAAGCACTGAGCCAAAGTATAAACCACTTGGAAAATTGAAGAGAGCTAGGACAGCTCACCTAGACTCAGGTAAGAGGGATGGTCCTGGGTTCAGAGCTGTGGGCTTCCCCGCAAAAGACTGCTTTTCAGGGTGCTGTGGTCTGGTGAAGCTGCATTGGGCAGAGGTGGATCTAAGACCCACAGTAACCCGAACACATCACACGGCTTCAGGAAGTGCTTTGCGTTTCTGTCTTCAGTCTATATAATCAGGAGTCAAGTTTAATCTCCTTCATAGGTTAAAATAAGTGGCAAAGTGAAGTGTACATGTATAGTATTCTGAACTTTCTAGAAATATGCCCTATGATTTGTACTGGCCATAAGGAGAAGCTGTTATCCTTGGACATTTCCTTCAAGATAGTAAATGCTGACAATGGAAACTCTTCTTGTCATCATTTCTTATCAGATTGATCAGTAGTGCTTATACAAATGGATTTGCTTACACAAATGTCTTTTTTCATTGTTGTCTTAGGCTGGGTTTTCTAGAGAAGCAAAACCAGTAAAACGTATAAATATATAGAAAGACAGATTTATATCAAGGAAGTGGCTCATGTGGTTGTAGGAGCTGGAACGTCCCAAGTCTGTGGGTCAAGACAAAGGCATCACCTGATTGACGCAGCTGCAGGGGCTAGTGGCCCAAGATCAGCAGGTCAGAGAGCAGGGCTCTTGCTCACAGTTTACAAAGATCGATGAATCCCAAGATTGGCAGGCAAGACCACAGGTAAGCTGCTAGCTCAAGTCCCAAGAACTGGAGGTCAGATGAACAGGATCCAGCTGCAGGATCCAGAGCGAGCAAAAGCCCATGAGCCTTGCCAGAATGTCCACTTATATATTTGATGCGGGCCACATGCCCAAGGAGACTCCCTTTCAACTGATTGGCTACTCACAGCAGATCCTATCATGGAGGTGATCACATTATATCAAATCTCATCATCCAATGGGATTGGTCATTTGTGTATCTTCTTTGATGAAATGTCTACTGTGATGGTTAACGTTATGTGTCAACTTGGCTAGGCCATGGTTCTCAGTGGTTTGGCAGATATTATGTAATCATGCTTCATTTTGTGACCTGATGTAAGCAGCCAATCATTTGAAAGCCAGTCAGTTTCTTTGCGGGTGTGGCCTGCATCCAGTATACATGGATGGTCTGGCAAGGCTCTCTCCGGATCCTGCATACTACCCATCATCTCTGACCTCTGGTTCTTGGGACATGAACCAGCAGCCTGCTGCTTCACCTGCAGATCTTGGGATTCACCAGCTTCCAAAACCCTGTGAGCCAGCACCTGACCTGCCGATTTTAGATTCATCAGCCCCTGCAATCATGTGAGTCAAGAGAAGCCTTCAGCCTGACCCATGGATTTGGGACTTGCTAGCCTCCACAACTATGTGAGTCATTTCATTGAGACAAATCTATGTATACTTACATATATACACTTCACTGGTTTGCTCCTCTAGAGAACCTAGCCTAAGACATTTTGGTACCAAGAGTGGCTCTAAAGGAACAAAATCATAAGAATGTGAGTTTTCTGAATTGGTTCTCCAGTCTGGCTAGTCTTAAAGATGCTGATGATTTTGCCTCCAGTAGTAAAGAGAGCACTGCTAATCCATGGTGTGAGGTGGCAATAGGAATATGTAAACTGTTACCACCAGTGGATCAAATATTAGTGAGAAACAGGCTGTGATTGCATATTTGATACTTTTCTATTATTTTTGTCAGGATGAGGCATACAGGGAGGCTTATTGGTTGGTCCTGCTTTTGCTAGACAAAGTGGTGAAAGAAGGAGATGTGCTCAGGGCTTCAGAGTCACAGCTCAAGTGCTGCACAAAAGACCTGAAAGTTGCCACTTGTGCCCCAAAAGAAAGCCTCATTTCTTGTAGTAACAGAGCTGATATTGCTGAAAACCAAACGCAGAATCTTATAGGAAGAATGGCTTAATTACAATGCCAGGTGAATTCCCAACCTCAAATGGTGTCTGAAGTTAAAGTGAGAGCATTAATTGGGAAGAAATGGGATCCTGAAACTTGGGATGGGGATACTGAGCCCCTAAATTCCATTGAATCACTCCTGCCAACAGAACCAGCCTTCTTATTCCCATCTGGAGATGGGAATAAGCTACCCTCCCCAGTAAAACCATTATCCCTTCCACCCCCATCTGATGAGATTAACCTAGCTGTGTCTGAAGAGCCTTTGTCTGAGATATTGCCTGGGGCGGCATCTGGGGCATTGATTGGGGCACTCGTTTTACAGGACATTGCTTAATGTCCCCGGGACCCACCCCTACGACTCATTTTTGCTTCTAGACCTATAACTAGACATAAGTCCCAGCTAGCCCCAAGAGATGAAGTACAAAGTGTGACCCATGAGGAGATACGCTACACTCCAAAAGAACTGCTTGATTTATCTAATATATACAAACAGAAACCTGGGGAATATGTGTGGGAATGGCTGTTAAGGGTGTGGGATAATGAATGGTGCAAGGAACATAAAATTGGATCATGCTAAGTTTATTGATATGGGCCCATTAAGCACAGATTCTTCATTTAATGTTTCGGCTCGAGGTTAGAAAAGGATTTAATAGTTTGTTTGGTTCACTGAAGCATGGATTAAGTGGTGGCCTACACTAAATCAAGTTAAAACGTCAGACCTGCCTTGGTATACCGTAGAAGAAGGTGTCCAAACGGCTTAGGGAAATTGGCATGTTAGAGTGGATTTATCAGGTTGGACCCACAGACCAGTTCATGGAGTGCCCAGAGGACACTCACGTTTCACAACAGTGAGGAGCAAATTTGTGAAGGGAACCCCAGCATCCTTGAAGACTACGTGATTGCTATTTTATGTAAGTCAGATTTGACAGTGGGAACTGCCCTAACTAAATTCAATTAACTACAATGGGACTGATTGGACCTTGTAGTGGTAGGGACCAAGTGGCGGCACTCAGTTGACAAAGACAAGGTGGGCATGGTTACTATAATGGACAGTGGAGTCAAAGCAGTAATCAGAATAGTCTGACTTGTATGGACTTGTGGCATTATCTGTTTAGTCATGGTGTCCGTAGGAGTGAAATAGATGGGAAATCTACTATTTGATTGATCTGTACAAGTGGAAGAATTCTAGATAAGTGAAGAGCAGTATAACTCTAATCGCCAGAATAGAGTCACAGCCCCTCAATTAATTCCCAGATTTGAGTCAGTTTACAGACCCACAAAGTTTTGGGTTTACAACCCCTTGAATGAAGGGGAGGCCAGGTCTCCTTGAGGAGGGACCTCACTACACTGCCAAAAATTTATCAAGTTAATCTTTCAGCCTTTCCCAAGGGGGTCTACGCCCTTTTACCAGAGTGACTGTTCATTGGGGAAAAGGAAATAATCCTTTTATTTGGACACTGGTTTTGAACTAACACTAATTCCAGGAGACCCAAAATGACACTGGCCCACTAGTCAGAGTAGGGGCATACGGAGGCCAGGTTATTAATGGAATCTTAGCTCAGGTCTATCTCACAGTGGATCCAGTGGGTCCCTGAACTCATCCTGTAGTGATTTTCCCAGTTCCAGAATGCATAATTGGAAGAGACATACTCAGCAACTGGCAGAACTCCCACATTGGATCCCTGACGTTTGGAGTAAGGGCTGTTATGGTAGGAAAGGCCAAGTGGAAGCCATTAGAATGGCTCCTACCTAGGAAAATAGTAAACCAGAAGCAAATATCACATTCCTGGAGCTACTGCAGAGATTACTGCCACCATCAAGGACTTGAAGGATGCAGAGGTGGTGATTCCCACCACATCTCCATTCAGCTCGCCTATTTGGCTTGTGCAAAAAAAAGATCTTGGAGAATGACAGTGGATCATCATAAACTTAACCAGGTGGTGACTCCTATTGCGTCTGCTGTTCCAGATGTGGTTCCATTGCTTGAGCAAATGAATACATCTGGTACCTGGTATGCAGCTACTGATCTGGCCAATGCCTTTTTCTCCATACCTGTTTGAAGGACCACCAGAATGAGTTTGCCTTCAGCTGGCCTACCTCAGGGGTATAGCAACTCTCCAGCCCTGACGTAATTTAGTCCGCAGCTTGGATCATTATATGTGTGTGTATGTGTATATATATGTATGTATGTATGTATTTTTTCACTTATAAAACATTTTATTGGAAAATTTGTTATTCTTCAATAACACCATTTTAATGGCTGTATATTTTGCATTTTGACATATAACTGTATATTTAATTTTTGTCATAATACGTTTAGGTTGTTTTTTACTTTTTACTCTTACAACTATTGTAGTGAACATGTACCTAAGTCTGTTTCATATTTCTCATTATTGGGTTAAAGTGTAGAAATTAAGGTGCTTAATACATATTGCCAATTTGCTATCATACCAATTGATACAAACATGGACCGTGTATGACAGTGGAAAGTATCTATGAATGATTTGACATTTTTCCCTTTTTTTCATTGGATTTAGGTGTTTTTATTATCAATTTGTGTAAACTCTTAAGGATTTCAACATTATCATACTTCTTGTGAGTTTTTCTCAGTGTTATATGCCTTTCCATTTTCATATTAAGACGTTTTAAATTTTTATATGGTTATAACAAAAAGAATGTATTTATATAATGTCAGTGTAAACTTCTAATAATATAGAAATGTCACTTGTTTTTCAGATACATATAGGTGAGATGTAAAAATGTTTTGACAGATTAAAGTATTGTACAACTGAAACCATGATACTGATATAGTCACTGATCCTGAAGAACATAAAACTGCCTTAGAGATAATACAAAAACATGTCATAAAAAGATACTAGTGGAACTGCTAAGGCACATAGATAATCCATAGCTTAAAGTAAAGCTATATCTTAGAGACTAAGATGATTCCAAATATAGTAGCTAGATACCTTAGTCACTGTAAGCCCTTTAGTAAAGCATAAATAGTTGCTTTTTAAATAATTATAAATCATAAAGGAATAGTGGACTTAAGAATTAGGTTCAAGTCCTGGCTCTGCCACAAACTAGTTTTATGGCCTATGCATTATTGTGTACCTTCTCCGGGCCAGTTTCCTTCTTGGTAAAATGGGAATTGCACAATAGTCTCTATGGTCCATTATTTTAGTGGCTTTTAAAATGTAGTGGTTACCTACATCCTTTATCACTGGGAAAATAGTGATCTTTTTAAGGGTATAAGTTAACATCAGATTCAGCAGAATAACAAGTTGCCATATAGATTGCTGTTGTTAGCTGCTGTAGAGTTGGCCGAGTCATGATGACCCCATATGTTACAGAGCAGAACTGCTCCATAGGGTTTTCTTAGCCGTAATCTTTATGGAAGCAGTTTACCAGGCCTTTCATATATATATGTATGTATGTATGTATACATATATGTATGTATGTATACATATATGTATGTATGTATATATATATTCAGCCTCATGAGTATCTAAATTCCTTTCTTCTTAGGTTAGGGGCTGTTAGAGGGCAGGACAATATTTACTGTGTCTTCCCCTCAATTCTGTGCCTTTACATTTTAATTTACAGAAATTTCATATATTAAATTTATGATAATTTCATTCTCAAGTCTCTTCATCTTAAGAATTTAAGTGAAATGGGTTAGTATACTCTATGTAGAATGCTTAAATAAAAATCAGTAAAATGTAGTGTTGACTAGTTCCTGACTCTTATGTAGCCTATTCAGTATTTTGGTTAAGGCTAATCTAACCTGTGTGTGTGCCCCAGCATCTCTCACAGCTTTGTGCCCAAAGTAGGTATCAGTAAAACTTTCATAAGAGGAAAACTTGAAGGAAAAAAGAAAAAAAACCTCGTCTTTTTATTAAATCAGCCAGCACAGTTTAGCATCTACTATTTGCAAAGCACACAGTTTGCAAACTTCTTTTCTGGGTAGTTTGCAGACCTAGCTGATGCACACAACCAGCTGCAGAACTTCAAAAACAAAACAAAATCAAACCATTGGGTCCCATCTTCAGAGACTGAGTTGGCAGGTCTGGAATGACATATACAGAGTTATTTTTCAAAAAGCTCTCCAGGTGATGCCAATGCTTAGTCAGGTCTGGGAACCACAGATAAAAGACATCGTGGCCTTATTTGGTGAACACAGATCTTACAGTCTCAACTTATTACCTGGCATTACAGAAACTTGAACGATGGTAATTACAGTGTTCAGAATATCCCAAGAATAAGGGGCCTTTTAATTTATCTTTGAAGAAGAGTGAACTCCCTATTCTTTGCAATTATAAGAATTAAATGCTACAAACTGGATTTTTATTAAACGCACAGACTGGCTGCCTTTGCATTTTGTTGCCTCTAAACCTGTTTTGTTTTTCTCACAGAGGAGGAAGATGATGATCTCTTTGATGACCCTCCACCAGTACCTTTAAGGCACAAAGTTCCAAACCAGGAAACTCTTCACCCTGAGGTCTTTTCAATGACTGCAATATCACAAAATCATGAGGTCTTTTCAATGACTGCAGTATCACAAAATCATGAGGTCTTTTCAATGACTGCAGTATCACAAAATCAGCCTGAAAACCTGAGACAAAGCACAGGATGCTTCAAGGAGGAGAGTATGCCAACCTCTCTTTTGGCAAACTTTGTAGATTGTCAAGAATCCAACAGTGAAAGTGAAGAGGAATCAGGCATCCCGGCTTCATTGCAAGGGGGGATGGATCCTGTAGCACTTCACCAGCAGAAGTCTGATGTGGACGTACCGCAGTGGGAAGTATTCTTTAAAAGAAATGATGAAATCACAGATGATGGTTTGGAAAATTTCCCTTCTTCCGCAGAAGCAGGGGCATCTCAGTCACCAAAGCTTTTCAGTGACTCTGATGGGGAATCAACCCACATCTCTTCCCAAAATTCTTCTCAGTCAACACACATATCAGAACAAGGCAGTCAAGGCTGGGACAGCCAAGCTGACACAATTTTGTTACCTTCCCAAGAGAGAAACTGTAATGATACTACTTCCTTAAACAAAGGTGGCTACAGACCAAGAATCAAAGGGAATATTCCTGCCTCCCAGCTGGAACAAAATGTACTTTGCCCAAAGGATACTTACTCTGATTCTAGAAGCAGAGCTCAAGATGTAAATATAGTTCCTGGTGTTGGAGAACCAACTACTATAAGTAGTGGGAAAAACAAACCTGAGGAAAAATGGTTGCTAAATCCTGGCACAAAGGCAGATTCTCAGAGCTCCTCTGATTTTGAAATTCCCTCAACTCCAGATGCTGAGCTACCTAAACAAGAACACTTACAATATTTATATGAGAAGCTGGCAACAGGTGAGAGTGTAATAGTTGGAAGAAAAAAAAAACCTCACTCTTAGATATTTAAAGAATCAAAATTACTTCATTCTAGAGCAACTGCTAAAAAACCTGTACAGAGAAATAATAGTCAAGATCACAATAAATAAAATCGAATACTTAGAAGTGTTCAGATAACCTAAAAGAAGGCAGGAAAGGGGAAACAGAGGAACCAAAAACAGAGGGAACAAAAAAAAAAAATGGTAGAACTAAATCCAAACCTATCAATAATTACATTAAATGAAAATGGTCTATAAGCACACCAGTGAAAAGACAGATTGTCAATGAAGAAAGCCAGAGACACAAGGAAAATACTAGTCCAAAGGACAAATGGACCACATGAACTACAGCCTCTACCAGTCTGAGCCCAGATGAACTAGATGGTGCCTGGCTACCATCACTGACTGCTCTGACACAGATCACAATAGAGGGTCCAGACAGAGCAGGAGAAAAATGCATAACAAAATTCAAATTCACAAAAAAAGACCAGACTTACTGGTCTGACAGAGACTAAAGGAACCCCCAAGACTATGGCCCCCAAACACCCTGCTAACTCAGAACTGAAGCCACTCCCAAAGTCCAAATCCTTTCAGCCAAGGATTAGACAGGCCTATAAAACACACATGAGGAACGTGCTTCTTAGTTCAATCAAGTATATGAGACCAAATGGACACCACCTGTCCAAAAGTAAAGAGGAGAAGGCAGGAAGGGACAGGAAAACTGAATGAATGGACACAGGGAACACAGGGTAGAAAGGGGAGAGTGTTGACACATTGTGGGGATCACAACCAATGTCACAAAACAATTTGTATATAAATTTTTGAATAAACTAATTTATGCCATAAGCTTTCACCTAAAGCACAATAAAATTTTAGAAAAAGAAGAAAGATTGTCAGAATGAAATAATAAAAAAAAAACCCCAACTATGTGCCATCTGTAAGAAACTCATGATATAGCTAGGTTATGATATGATATAGCTGGGTTAAAATAAAAAGGATGGAAAAAGATACACCATGCAAACATGAATTAAAAGAAGCCAGAGTGGTTATATTAATGTCGGATAAATTTCCTAATAATAAAATGTCAGTTCACCAAGAAAACATAACAATCTAAAATGTGTATACACCTAACAACAGTTTTTCAAAATACGTGACACAAAAACTGGCAACTGAAAGGAGAATGAGATAAATGCACAATTATAGTTAGAGACTTTCTAGCATTTCTTTCCCACCAGACAGAAAATCAGCAAAGATACAGAAGAACTGAACAACACCATCAACCAGCTGGCTCTCACTGACATTTATAGAACATTCCACCCATTAAAGGAGTCCTAGTGGTGCAAATGATTAAGTGCTCGGCTGCTAAAAGGCTGGCAGTTCAGACCCACCCAGTGACTCCGAGGGACAAAGACCTAGCGATCTGCTCCCGTAAGGATTACAGCCAAGAAAACCCTACGGGATAGTTCTGCTGTCACATGGGGTCACTACAGGTCGGAATCGACTTGACAGCACCTAATAAGAACCACCACCACTCAATAATAGCAGAATATATTCAACTGCATATGGAACATTCGCTAAGGGAGGCCATATCCTGAGTCACAAGTGAATGAATAATTTGGATCTATTTCAGTAAACTGACGGGTACGCGGAAAAATCAACACCTCATGTATCTCAAGAGACATTACATCACTTAAGAACCTTGTGAATACAGTGGTTAAATTAGAATAATTAGGACCTAAAAGAAAATCCTTAAGAATTAAATGGCTAAAGTATGTGTTCTTTAAGTCATTCAATTTCCCTAAAGTCCATCAATGGTGGGTTAGTTATGCTTTTGTATTGTTTTGTATGAGGATTTAATAAATTTTATTGATATTCATAAACATTGGTACGCTGATATTTAATAAAGGAAACAAAAGCAAATATTTTACTTAAAACAAGTTTAAATGGAATCACTAAAGCATACTTTGTAGATCAGTTAAACTAACAGAGACATGCATTATCATGATGTAAAAATAAGTATTATACCCACAAGACTAGGATTATAAGACTTAAAAGACTTATAAGTCAGTGGGAAAGGAGAACAAATTCGGCATTCAGAGGAACCAATGCCAAGAAGACCCCCAAAAGCCAGCCTTCTCATTTCTCCGAATGGGAATGTTCCATTCACAAGTGTTGGAAGCAGGACAAATTACGCTTGATGATAATAGCCCTTGTCCATTTATGTCTGGGGATGCTTCTTTCGGTTGGGGGGTGTGGGGTGGTAAAAACTAGACAGTGACACAAGCTTCAAGGTTTAGCTAAGAAATTGACTTACACTAGAGGAATGAGGGGAAGTAACTGACGTGTTTACTATGGAATAGGGCTGAGAGGAAGGGTGAGGTCGAGGAGCCTGGTTCATCTCATTTCTGACTGATCTTAGAGGAACATGCTGAGCCACACAATTTATATTACTCTACAGTAAGTTATTAACGTACAAAAGTAGAGACCGGTATGAAAAGGAATGTAAGAAAGAGTACAAGGAGGGTTTTTTTTTTTTTCTTCTTCACTACCCTAACGTCATCATTAAAGGAGACTCCTTTAAAGACTCCATTAAAGACTCCTCTTTTCTAGCTCAGCTGCTGATGTGAGATTATATAATGAAATATTTTTTTAATATGTGGCAATACAAACTCAGTATGATTGGGGCAGGACTACAGTTATGTCCACTCTGTTTTACCCATTTCCCCTCAGAGTTATTACATAAATTCAAAGTAAATAAAAAAAATCACTGGAACAAGTAGGGATTGGATGGAGGTAACTGGTTTAGTATCTAGCCATTACAGAAACCCAGAGAATTTTCATTTTTTATTTATGGCTCTACAAATTAGTTATACTTCATTATCATAAATCATTTAATCAAATATAACTATCCATTTGCATACATTTACTGACACTTAAGATTAGTCTCAGTATAGCTTATGATTCATTTTTTTCACTTTGCTGTTCAAAAAAATCTGTAAACATTCTTTTGAATATATTCTTAACATTTTATAATCACACTACCAATTTAATATTACATACTGCCACATTTTCATTGTTTTATGTGAGTCTGGCATATGATAATAGGCATATAATAAATGCTGGCTGAATTAATTTAAGGGCTGAGAACACCAGAATAGGCTTTGACCAACAAACATGTAATGATCACCCGAGGTTTTAAAGCAGTACTTCATAGTACAGAGTAATAATATATGGTGCTTACTTTGTGACTGTTCTTTTACCTACTGTACATCAACTCATTTAATCCTCACAACAATCCTTTGAGGTAGTTACATTTATTATGCCCATTTTACAGATGAGGAGATTAAGGCACAGAGAGGTAAGTACACAGCTAGTACCGGACAAAGCCAGGATTCAAACAGGCAATTTGGCCCCAGACTGTATGCTCTTAACTACTATGCAATAATGCTTCTCAGTAAGAGTATAAAAACAGTATTAATTGTAGTGGCTACTCAATTTTTTACTTCAAGAACTGTAAAGTATAAAAGGAAAAGTGAAGAAACCCAATGGCTAGCCACATATGCCTTAGAGAGGAGTCCCAGGACTTAAGATGTTTGTTTAAACGAATAGTGGAAATTGACTTCTAAAAAGTTTGGCTAAAGTTGTAGATTAAATGTTTTAAAAATAGTTACCCTGTTACTGTTAGCTGCTGTCAAGTCACCTAGCAAACCTCCAGTGACAGTCGGGTGGTAGCTGCACATGAAATGCACTTACTGGGAATCAAACCCAGGTCTCCTGCATGGAAGGCGAGAATTGTACCACTGAACCACCACTGCCTTAGGTACAGATTACTGTCTAGTAGCTGGATCATCTTGGGCATAGTAATGCTATTTAACTGGCCTAAGTCTGTTTCCTTAGGTGTAACATAGGGACAATGGCACCAACCTATAAAAGGCCTAAGGTTTGTTCAATGAATGTCAGCTCTGAATTCTAGAATTCCTTTGCATATGCAAGGCAGTACTTAGTGACAATATATTTAAGTACCTGGTGACTAATGCCGCTTTAAAATTTTCAGAAATATTTACCCACATTATACTAACAAAATGTAAAATTCTATACTTTAACATTTCAAATGTATGAACAATGACAAGGATAAGCTTTCTTAAAAAGAAAGTAACATTTAAAGGACTTGCAGACAAGCCTTTGGTTAATCTTATCAGCAAGTAGTCTGTAATACATCAGTATTTTTCTGCCCTTTTTTGTAGCCTTACTAAAAAATGACAGTCAAATATTCAGAAACAAAGCTAACATATAAATAGAACATCAAATGCCAAACTAAATTTATTTTGCTAAGGAGAAAGTGTTCAGCTATAAGAAAAGTAAGTGCAGTCTATATCTTGCATGTATCGGGAAAAAACCCTGAGATTACCAACTGTGTTTCACAATCCCTTTATGTAGATACTGAAAACAATGGTATTGATACAACTTGTACAGTGGATTAACTTACATTTTAAATTTGATCTAAATATTACCCTTGAATATTTGCTTTATATTGGACAGAACAAATTCTGACAACTTCAGGAAACTAAGGATGCTAAATGTTGACTTACAATAGTTAAAGCTCCTAACAGCTTTGTTTAAATAGTTTGTTATGTTACTGCTTAAGTTCAGCTCTTTAACAACGTAAGAGTAACAAAGGTACTTAAGATCTCAAAGGCCTGTTAAATTTCTATTAACAAGGACAAAAGTACAGGTTTACTGGAAATAGCCTTTTTTCCTTTGCCCTCCAGTTTTACATTTTTTAACACATAAAAATCAGATAAGATCAAATAACTAGAGAGTAAAACACTGACTTTTTAAAAAGGATGTTAAGATTACATCTTTAAATCTGTGAGAATTATAATTTGAAGCGTGGCAACTGGGAGCAACCGTAAGTCTGCGACCCTTTCTTGGCACTGACACTACATCACTAATTTTTCATAAGGAATGGCATTAAAAATCTATTTGCCTTAAGGCATTCTGCACATTTTGGTTAGTAGATATACTAAGGCTCCAAACATGTCAATTTATTCTACATTATGAGAGCAAAATCATGTGATGGAATATAATGAATAAAAGCATAGTTTCTCCCAAAAAAGGATTAAGGATTAAGAAGATATTTGAAGTGCTACATTCTTGAAGTCAGTTCAATTTTACCCAAGCTTATTTAGGCCACTAAAGCTTAGCGGAATGAGTTTAGGTAAAACTTAATTAAAACCAAAAAAAACCAAACCCGTTGCCATTGAGTCGATTGCAACTCATAGCGACCCTATAGGACAGAGTAGAACTGCCCCATAGGGTTTCCAAGGAGCACCTGGTAGATTCGAACGCCAGCAGCACTTAACCACTACACCACCAGGGTTTCCAAAACTTAATTGGGAATACTGAAAACTAAATTTATTTGCTGCATTTATCTTCTTACTGGACACCATGATTAGGAATCCCAGAATCAGAAAGAGATGAAAACGTAATTTTTCCCGACTGAGGCTTTACGATGCAGAGAAAATAAAATAAAAACCTAGTATATTGCATTTCAGTCTTTGTAGTTCAACTAATAAATGGTCTCATAATTCAGGCACACAAAAAACCTACTCTGGCCAACTCAAGTTAGCTTTGTTACATCTAAAAAATTCATATATAAAACAAGTTATCAGTTCAAAATACAGATTACTTTTTAAGAAAAGTCTGTAGGAAATAAAAAAATTAAATGTTGTGGAAAGGAAATGTTAAAACTGCCTGAAATACAGAAGATGTAATGTTAATGTACTTGTGTGAAACGCTATCACTAGGTACAGCTGTTCCCAGGGTATCTTGTTTTACTGTTTAGACCAGAGGTACCCAATACTCAACATGGATATCCTAATTCATGTTTTAAGAGGCGTCCTTAAAATGCTCCATTTCCCCTAACTAGCACTCCACAACACCCACCTGGTCCCACTGCTTCATCCTTTCAGAAAAGTATAATGGCTACGTATTCTGGACTTTTAGAGACGGCTTCTTGGAGATTTTTCATCTACAGGGTAAAAAAATCTTTAAGCACTAGTGGATCAGACACATACACCTCCATAAAGGCAAAGATTGCTTCAAAGTAGGAAATCAAGCTATACATTTTTTTTTACATTGAATTTTATGCCTTTAATTTTATACCATTCAGATGCCAATGTTTTAATGAAAAAAGTAGAAAATAGAGTATAAAAATTTGGTATCATCTAGTTGTCTCAAACACAAGTACAGCAAATATTAAGTAGGCAAATAGGAATGACAATACAACAACAAAAGTAGAACTTGTATATTTGTCTAAATTGAATTAGCCATTTCTCCAAGGTGTATGGCAAATTGAATATTTGATCTTAGCAACTGTTACATTATCAGTTTAACACCTCTCATACACTGAAGGAGGCATTTCTCTATTCACAGACTTAAGTATGTATATGTTGATCTGTAAATAGTTTTCCTTCCATGCTTGGCATCCAACCACTAAACATGTACACTTCAAATTAGTCTATGACCCTGTGTCCCTCTCTTCAGAAGCCTCAGTAATGCCTTTGGCTAATGTTTTGAAATATGAATTATAAATTAACATAGGCATAATCTTGATCATATGAAAAAATATTCCCAAATACTTGGTTTTTAAAATGTTAACATTTGGAAAAAACAAAACTATCATCAGTTCTATTTTCTGAAAATTCAGTTGAGGTAACCTCGGCAAGTCATAGCTCCACATTTGCACACAGTTCTGATCCTCTTTTTGGCTGGGCTATGGTCAAGAGAATCTGAAGATATATCTCCCAAACCTGATACACAGAAAAAGAAATATAGGAGAAACAGAGTCAAGATAATTTAGAATGAATTTCAAATTTTCAATTAGTTTTACAGTAGCTAGCAAGGGTGCTTATGTATTCAAGATCATTAGACTAAGTTAACTCCTAAAGAAATGTTAATTCTCCTTTGTATATATAAAAAGGAGCCCTGGTGGCTCAGCTGCAAACCGAATGATTGATAGTTTGAACCCACACAATGACTCAGAGGGAGAAAGACTTAGTGATCTGCTCCTGTAAAGATTTCGGCCTAGAAAACCCTATGGGGCAGTTTTACTCTGTCACATGGGATCGCTATGAGTTAAAAGTCAACTCCACGACACCTAACAACAACAACGACAACAATATATGAATAAATGTGAACGTTTAGAGACAAATCATTATGAATTGTCCTGAAAGGATAGTAAACCAAAAAAAAAACTAAACCCGTTGTCGTGGAGTCAATTCTGACTTATAACAACCCTAGAGGACAGAGTAGAACTGCCCCATAGGGTTTCCAAGGAGCGGCTATGGATTCAAACTGCCTTAGCAGCCGAACTCTTAACCACCAGGTCTCTGAAGGGATAATAATGTGGACTAATAAAAGGTAAAGTGTATCCTTTTAGCCCGTTTGTAAGAAAGGATTTCTAAATGATGAAACTTACTGGGAAAATCCAAAACACAATAATTCATTTTATACATTACTTAAAGAGTACATAATGTGAGCCAAGAAGTAATACGTAAAGGGGATCATTCTTAGAAAAACAAGGGAAAGAAAACATCCATATTGTCACAATAAAGGAAACAGAATTAAATATTCTATTTAAAAGCCAGATTCAGTATGAAAGGCTTATATTCAGGTGATTTAAATCGTATGTCTAATCTTTTGAATACCTATCTCTTAGTAAATATTCAGAAATGTAGGCTTATCATTTTTTAAATATAAATATTATGGTATTGAGTAATGATGTTATAATAAATAAGCTTCCAAAGGGAAATTCTGAAAAAATTCAATTTTTTTCAACTTTAGTACTGGTTTGGTCCAGGTGATCTAAAGTCTTTTCCTACTTTAATTAGATTCTTCATACTGAAACTATACTGAAAAACCATACCTTTCATTTGATAATCAAAAGTCAGCTCTTCTCCAGCATTTATGGTTCTCGTGGAAAATAATGCAATTCGAGGAAAACGAGTATCGAGGTTATCAATGAAAACATTGAACACTTGAAGATTTGGGTCACACTAAAAAGGAATATTAATACCCATTTAAGTAAAAATATGCAAATGAGTTCTTCTACAAGCCATAGAAAATCTTTAATTTCTCAGAGTCATAGTTTTTTAAATTCTGCTGGAAACTAAGTTGCTTATTGTTTAGAGGTCTTTGAGGTATTCACATTTAAAATACTGTTTTTACTCACAGAAAATCTCAGGCTTACTTAAAAGTAGAGAAAATATAATAAATCCTCATGTATCCACTATGTAGCTTTAACATGATTTAACATTTAGCCAATCTTGTTTCCTCTAGTCCCAACTTTTTATTCTGGAGAATTTTAATGCAAATACCAGGTAACATATCTTTTACCTTTAAATATTTCAGTAAGGCATGTGCTAGAACTAGAATAACTGGATTTAAAACATCAAATCAACCACAGAACTCAAATTTCATATTAAGCATGGAGTTTCACCGCTTAAACTTTTATGTGGAATTGTTTTATATTTTTATTACTCTATACTAAATTATGGAATATGAAAGAAGAAAGCTCCAGTGAATCAAACTAAGAAATCAAAATAACTAGTTTAATTAACTTTGAACAGAATATATCGATTTTTGGAGTACCTCAAATTTATCATTAGGAAAAAAATTCGTTGAAAGTTTAAGTAAATCAGAAAACTAACAGAGGATTGAGAAGATCCCCAACACTTAAATACTAATCATAAACAAGTTTCTTGGTATGAAATCCATCAGAAGTTCAACATGATCTACTTCCTTACCATAGTCAGATATATAGTTACTCTCAGAGACACATTTTCTTTATTATCCATAAAACAGAGATTATGCCAACCTCACAAGTCTAATGCTATACTATATACCTAGTACTTAGTAGGTGCCCAATAACTATTAACTTCCTTTATTTTTGGAAATAGTTTTTATAGAGTATAAGATTTGAGTGTAAGATTCTGGAGTTAAGATTCCAACTGTATTCTAAGTTTTTTTCAAACATGAATTAAAAATTAAGGAAGAATACCAATTTATAATTTAGAAAAATACCCCTAAATACTTCAATACTCTACAAAGTCTTAAATATAAAAATGTTAACATGTTTACATTTTAAGAGTTGCATATCCTAAAATGTAGCTGTGTTAAGATACCTATATAGTTGTGATTCTTAAATTTTTTACCTTTAAACTCTTCTGCTCATTAATTTCCTCCTCTGATATGAGAATAATACTACCTTATAAAGCTGGTGGAAAGTTTAAATGAAGTAACATATGTAAAGAGTCTTGTAAAATGCATAGTATTTGGTAGGCATCTCAATATTCATTTTTCTAACACAGCAATAGTACCATGACTTAAAAGAAGAGGCCCTCATATTAAATACCTTGGAAATGGAAAGCACTTTAAAAGAGTACATAGTTTAATGATAATAATTCTTGATACTATAGAAAAATAATTCAAACCTGTATTAAATTGGATTTTAGTCTTATTTATACTTTAAGTATTTCTTACACTGTGATTCACAAAATGAGATATATTTCCATATCGAGCTGCATCCACTGTGAATTCATCAGATTCATAGTCTAGATCGAAGAGATACGTGATTCCTTTGTTGTCATATAACTGGCCCCGTCTTTCAGCTTCTTCACTTGTGATTACCTAAAAGAAAAAAACTACAGTATATTACGTACTATTGCTAAACTGAAGAAACACTCATCCATAAATCTGCAAAACAATGGAAAACCAATAAACTTGAAAAATAATTTGCCAAGGCTTATTAATGTATTAATGTATTAATGCCTACGAATGTTTAAAAAGTAAGAAATTCAAGTGTCATCATCAAAACAAATATTCATACAAACTATTCTGGAAGAGCTAGATGGAAAGAGGTGGGACAATGAACGGAGGAGAAATGATGGTGCAAAAAAGTTATGACTTTTAAATGGGGTTTGAGACAACCCAACAATAAATGAGCAAAGACACTGCACTACTTTCACTGAAATCTATCAGGATTGCAAAAAGCTACACGACTATAGCTCTCTATAGGACATAACTAAATGCAAAGGACTAAATTTATACATATATGCTCAGAATATGCTCTAAAGGTATATATTTTCCTGTAACTACTTTGTGTGTAGTTACAGATGGAAATTTGTTAAAAATACAAGAGAGAAGATATGTTAAACTTGTAGTTAACGGCATGGAAAGTTTGATTTTGTAGGACAGGTTTTCATGAAATTCTATAGCTCAAAACCATCATCTATAGTTCTGCTCTTAAGAACACAGCTTCATTACATGCTCAGTTTAAGAAACCAAAAATGTCTGAAGTGATTCATGGTGTCAACCAAATTTGACTGCTGCATTAATTAAGCCAAAAAGGAATAATTTGATTGTACAAGACACAGTATCCTGAATAGTGATTATTATAATCTGCCACTTTTTAAAAATATTAGTATCAAAACAAAGATCTAATCTAATTTCAGAATTCTAAGATGAATACTGATTATAATTACAGGTGATCCAGTTCCAAATAACTAAAAACCAATCAGATTTGACAACTCCAGATATGCAGTCACACTTGTATTTTTCTAGTCATAGCTTAATCCACCATTCAGTGTGAGGCGTATGGTGTAGGGGTAAAGAGCATTGATTTTGGACCCTTGATTTTGAATCCTGACTCTTCTTTATTAGTGCGTGAGCTTGGGCAAGTTGCCCAACTTCTCTGTGCCTCAGTTTCCTTAACTATAATAATGGAGATAATAGCACTACCTCACAGAGTTGTTGAAAAGATTAATGAGTTAATATATAAAGTGCTTGGAATAGTATGTAGCACACAGGAAATACTATCTTATATATATATAAATTTTACATTTATACATATTTATATATATATTTTATCTGTAAAAAATAAGTTTTATCTGTATAAAAATAAATTTGTTAGTATTTGTAAGGCAATTTAGAGAACACACTTCCTGGTTCAAAGAATCTGAGCTATTGGGACAGAGTTTGGGTTTTCTTATGAATGGCAATAAACGCTTTTATGTCTATTTTACAATACTTGCTTATGAAGCATTGGTCTACTCTACAATATCTTTCATGTTGATACAAAATAGAGTTTTGCCAACTACAATGAACTGTTATTGGTCAAAGGATGGAGTAAATCACAACTTAAAAATTTCAAAGTGAGCATGTGTTTACATCTGATTTTCTTCTTAGGACTTCTTATAAAAATAGTGGTCCCATTTTAAAATATACAAATGCCAGTTACAATGACTATGAATGGGCATTTGTTGAAAGGTGACTATATCCATTTCATTTGTCATTATATATGTTTTTTGTTCATATACAAGTTTATATTTTTAACTGTGCCAGTGAACTCTTCTCCCAAACCTGAAAATGAATTTCCACATATCTGCAAATAGTATCAAAATGTACCAAACATTTATGTTACTGAGGTAAAAAGGTAACTTTTCAAAAATGTAAATCATATGCAGACAATTTGAACATACCTCTCCAACATATTCCATGACAAAACTCATTCTTTTAATCTTCACAAGTGTTTTTACACCCCAGCCACGGCCATTGCTAGTTCGAAAGATGCAAAGGGAATACTGTGTGCCTTTTTGTACAACCCTATTGGGACAATCAGGTCCACATTGACACCTTGAGTTGCATTCATAGATGGGGGTACCAGGTGGGATTTTAATTTGTTGGTTTTTATTATAAGCCAAAAGAACTCCAGCTTCAGCAGGACAACATTTCTCAAAGAAGCAATCTGTGCATGAACAACCAAAGGTAACTTCATTTACTAAACTGATTCCAGGAGCTGGTTTGTATTCATTAATGTAGTAGAAGTCCGAAGGTGGGCCCTCTAAGTCAACAGTATTTTCAACAAATATCATTCCTTTATAATTCTTTCTTCTGTTGAGTTCATCTTGCCATCTTTGCAGAGCTATCCTTTGTTTAGCCTTCTTTACAATGTATTCAGCAATGGCAGGTTTCAAAGCTTTATTATTGTCTTTAAGAGTTATTGCTTTGCCTTTCTTTACCTGAGATAAAAAATTATGCTTGTCATTAGAGAATTGCTGAAGTAGTAATGGGCACTTGAGATTTTGCAAAGGTTCCCAAGTATTTGTAGAATCTGGCCATCCTTTCCATTTTACAAGATAATATTCCATGTCCTTAAAATATAAAAGAAAATGCAAATCAGATTATGATAGTCCCAATTATTTAATAGATTAAATATTTTAAAGACTAAGGTATTATCATTTTTCTTAATACAGTTCAGAATATGTAAAGAGTCACAGCTTTCTAAATAGATTAAGTACAAATCATAAAAATAAAACTATTTTCCTTTATATTATATATAATATGTATAGAATTTAGATACGATATAACATGATTGACAATAGGCTAAAGAGTCTTATCTGGAAAAATAAAGATACTGAAATTTATGAATATTTTACTAAATAGTGATTAGGTTAAACAAAAAAGTATTTATTTTGATCATGGAAATAGGTGGTCCCAAGGCTAACAATTCGTGACCTTGGTTAGTGGCTTACTTGGCCAGGTATAGATGTAGGTATTCTCTAAGGTCTATAACTTAATGTTATACACCGGGTAGGAGGAAAGTTATATTTCATAACGTCATGGGCACACATCCCCTAGATGCTCTAGAGATGTTCTGTCCAATACAGTCGTTACTAGCCACATATGGCTACTGAGCACCTAGAATATGGATAATGGAAATGTGCTTTAAGTATAACACCAAATTTTAAAGACTCAGTACCAAGGGAAAAAAAAAAAAAGACTGTAAAATAGCTCTAATGTTTTAAAAATGTTTAACATGAAAACTTTAAGAATGAGTTTGGTCACGGAATATGTTGGAGAGGTACATTCAACTTGTAACACACACAGCACCGAAATGATATTTTGGATATACTGGATTAAAGTAAATATATTATTCAAAGCAATTTCACTTGTTTCTTTTTACTTTGTTTAAGGTAGTTATTTACATTTGTGGTTCACATTATATTTCCATTGGATTGTTCTAGAGAATGTGAACTACCTAAGTTGTACTTACCCACTACTGGGTTAGGTAGCAGGCACTCAATCTATCAAAGATCAAATCTTTTGATTTATCCCTCAGGCTACTGTTGGCCACCATGGTACCTGGAATCTTGTCTTTCCACCCAGTGATGTGACTACGTTTCTCTTGATGAAGGTAGTTAAGTGTGTGTAATAGAAAATTCTGAAGTAAAGTAAAATCCTTCAATTTAATAAATTTTTTTGTCCTCTGGACTAATAACTCAGATATAGCTATATAACCTGGGGTCAAATAAGGCCATAAAATGCCTTCTGATATATCAAAGTGATTAAACTGCATTCTACAGTTTATAGTTATTTTAATTCATAAAATTAATTAATAATTAATAAAAATAATAATTGATAAAACTTAATTGGGATACATTTGCTTTTCTCTGAAAATTTTAATAAAGTTTTTATTATAAAGTAGGGGTGCCTGTGGCAGCATTTTAATATTCATAAAAGCCTTCCAAATGATCTGGAAGGTCTAGGACATGTGGTATTTGAAATACTGCTGAGGCACAAATTGGGAATGAGGATCACTGTGAGGCAGCTGTGCTGAAGCAAGGTCACTTAGCTAGTGAGTGAGCTTATTTTATCACCCACTATCTGCATCTTAATGTTTTATTACATTACTCAGCAAGCAGTAATTCTTGTGAATTAAAAGAACTTTGCTTCTTTGTGAAAACTGGTCAAAATAGGTTTTCTCTGTTAAAAAAAAATTAAATTTAACTAATTAAAAAAAACTAGTTAAATTATGGTGTGAGAATATACACAGAACCTTTACTTTCATGGAAATATATATTGTGATTTCCAGAAAAAAAAAACAAAAAACCTAGACATACATTTAAGTATTTTTCAAATTGAGGGCTCACTAAGGTCTAAAGATTTATCCCTTCTGAATCTCAGGTAATTACTATAACTGGGGGGTTGTTGTTAGTAGGCAGCTGTACACCAATAACGAGAGGCATTTAGCAATATGTAACTTATCTGTTTCTGAATTCTAAAAGTTTTATTTTTTCTGATGCCAGAACAAAGCAATGCAATCCTGGTCCTCTGTTTTCTTTCTGTTACAGTTTTCCCTACCATAGTCCTGGGTTATGCCAAAAGTTGCCAGCAAACAATGAAACAGAAATATTGTATGTAATTATCATCCAGCAAAACTACAAATCATCCCACCACTGAAGTTAATTTAGTAAGATTTTTCTTCCAAAAATAATTTACTGTATTCTTTAATCCTGGATGTGTTACTTGCATTTTTAGTGACTATGTTTTGTATGTTAATCACATTAACACCTACTTATTTATGGAAGGCACTATCAACATGCTTACAAAACATGAACGCCTTTGGCAAAAATAGTAAAGAAGTATTAGCAGCATTTTACTTGTACTTTGTAGACTTCTGTATTTTATTTTATAAGCAACTTTTAACATCTAAAAACAGTACTTTTATTTTGAAAAATAAGCTAATTTTACATGGAAAAATAACTTTGACTTGGGAAATAAGTTCAATTAATTTGACACCAAAATTCCAAGTAAAAACCAGGAAGTTCATAAGTCTTATGTATTGTATCACTAGCTTATTCTGATATACAATCAACTCTTGATTACCTATAGCAATGGAGTATAGTGGTAAAAATGATCCTGAATCACTGCTATGTAATTTGGAATGCATCATACGAATTTTTTCTTAAAGACATTTTCTCACACTATGTTTGACTTAGGTTAAATTCATTCAAATATTTTAGCACCTACAGTAAGTATATGAAAGTTCTGCCACTAGGGAGTGTGATGAGTCATATTACTAGCTTTTAGGAGTTAAAATCTCACTGGGAAAAGAAGGCAATAATATGTGAAGTAAGAAGAAACGCAAGGCAATACAATTTAAAATGCCAAAACAAATAAGACAACAAATACCACTAGAGTATAAAGGAAGAAGGAAATCAATATAGGTCAGACAATTAGAAAAGGACACAAAGGAAGTATAACAAACTACACAGTGAAAGACTGATAGAATTTGTTAGGTAGGATACATGGCAGGCAGGATGAAAAACACAAGCAGAACCTTCAACCTAAGATTTGCATGAAATACTCCAGAGCCCTGGTGGCGCAATGGTTAAGAACTCAGCTGATAACTAAAACGTCAGCAGTTCAAATCCACCAGCCACTCTCTGGAAACCCTACGGGGCAGTTCTACTTTGTCCTATAGGGTCACTATGAGTAGGAATCGACTCGACAGTAAGGGTTTTTTTGTTTTTTGTTTTTTTTTTGTATCCAGAAAACAAAGGAGCTCTGGTGATGCATTGGTTAAGAGTTTGGCTGCTAACTGAAAGGTCACTGGTTCAAATCTACCAGCCACTCCACGAGAGAAGATGTAACAATCTGCCTTTCTAAATATTACAGCCTTGAAAACCCTATAGAGCAGTTCTACTGTGTCCTATAGGGTCGCTATGAGTCCGACTCAACAGCAATAGGTTTTTGGTTTTAACCAGAAAATAGTGAAGAAATGGATTTGGCTAGTTTTAAAGTTCAGAATGTTGAAGTAAGAATAAAACTAAAGGAAAGGCAAGAGTAAACTTTAGACAGCTTTGAACACGTGGCTGAGGTATCTGAACTTTATTCTAGGCCAGTAGTTCTTACAATTCCTAGAAACCATAGTGTTTCTATGGGATACTTCATTAAATACAAATACATTTAACTATAACTTGTTAATTAGGGACAATTTTACCAATCTTCTAATGGTGAAACCAATGAATTCTTCCATCCTCATCTCACTTGACCTCCTGTAGCATCAGCCACTGCTGCCCCTACTTAGCTTCAGTATCATGATTCTCTCTTCATTCTTGTTCCTTTTCTACCTCCTTTGCTGAGATTGCTTCCCTGGTCTATCACTTAAACAACGCAGATAACTGGGGCCTGTCCTTGGCCCCTTTTCACACTAAACAGTGTTTATCTGTTTTGAGAACCTGATGAGAGCTACAGAACTTCTAACAAAAAGTCACATATGTAATATTTTGGTAATTTCAGGATATCTGGATTCCAGGTTAGGAATTCCAGCTCTAAATGCTCTCTCTGGGCAGCCTCATTACTGATGACTCCCAAAAGGTTATCGGTAGCCCCATGTATCTAGTAGCCTACTGGATGTCCACATGGATGCACAACAGGTTCTCAAAACATTCTACCACACAACTCGCCACTGTCTTCCCAAACTGATTCCTTCTACATTCATCATGGTGAATAGTACCCGTCTACCTAGACACACAAGCCGAAAACCAGAAGTCAATTTTGATTCCTTCTTCTCCTCAATCCAATCCATCATTAAGCTTCTTTAGATACTTCTTCCTGTCCATTGCTATTATTATAGCTTTAATTACTTCAGGCCCTCAATTCTTGCCTAAACTATTACATTAAATTTCCCAACTGGTCTTCCTGCCTGAAGACTGACAACACTCAAATTTATTCTTCTTTACTAAAGGGTAGAGTTTTCTTATAGAAATATCCCCACATAATCAGTCATGCTGTTATTCTCTTGCTTATAAACTGTTAATGGCTCCCCACTGCCTACAGAATAAAGTTCAAACTTTTTGTAACAAAAAAGGCCATTCCTGATTCGGTCTCTGCTGTTTCCCTGGCTCAGTCTCCCATTATAGCCCTATTCATGCTACCCTCTAGCCATACCGAACTGCTAATGCGTGAACATCCCAGGCCTTCGCATACCTTTCTGTTTCTTTGTTCACAAAGTTTTCGCCATTTAGAAAGGCCTCTTCCATTTGCCTCATGAACGCTTTACTTCAGTTTCATCTTTTTATGTGTAGAAAAACCTACTCATTTTTAAAAACTCAATTCAAATGTCACCTCTTCTGTGAAGTCTTTCCTGCCTCTCTTGCCTAAGAAGTAATCACTGCCAACCCTCTGTGTGCCCACGTCTAATCTAAACTATAAGGCATTTGTGGAGAGGGATGAAATCTCATTTTTTTGTATTCTTAGAACCTACCACATTTGCCTAACATATCTTAGGCTCTGACTAAATGTTTCTGAATATGTAACAAAAAACATGACTACCGCCAGGTATGCAATGTAAAAATCACAACAGTAA